TCATTCTCTCTCCCCGCATTTCTAACACCGTTACTCTTTGTCCATTACTCTCTAACTCTTTCTTATTTTCTCTCTGTTACTCTCTTTATCTCTTCCCTTTTTTTTTTCTCTCTTTCTCATTGATAATTTATTTTCTTTTCAAATATATAAAGATTTGATTTGATTTTTTCATTTCTTTTGCCCATATTTTTTTTTCTCTCTCTCCCCTTATTTTCTCTCACTATTACTCTCTCACCTTACTCTTTCTATATATCAACGTTATAACAACACAATTACATCAATCAATTTTAATTGTCCTATAATGCATCAAACAATTACTTATGTGTTCTAATAAACCAAACAATTATACCAAGCAATTACACAAAATTATGACACCAATCCAATTTTTTATTTAATTGTTCACATAAAACAAAGAGTTATACTAAATTTGGTGTATATAATTAGTGTAATCATGTCGTGATATTAAATTGTGTAATTCTTTTGTTTATGTAAAAAATTGAATAACAAATTGTGTAGGTGTTGTAATTTCGTGTAATTATTTGGTATAACTGTTTAGTTTATTATAACACGTGAGTAATTATTTGGTGTATTATATGACAATTATAACTATTTAGTGTAATTATGTTGTTATAACGTTGATATAAGAAGAGAGAAAAAATAGGGAATAAATAGAGAGTGACGGAGAGAGAAAAAGTGAGAGAGTAATAGAGTAGTGAATGACATTTCTGTCTTTTTCCAAAAAAAATGCATTTAGGCCAAAGAAGTTTCCTTAATATAGTTTAGCTCAATTAAGTTCAAATTTTTGTACCGACTTTCCAAATTTTTCTATTTTTTTGGTTCAATGGTCAGGAGTGTCTGAGCTAGTTTACTCACAACTTGATTAATCTTCTCCCCGGTCCGATAAAAGGCAGGTTATCCACGCCGAGACTATGAGTATTCAAAATTTGGCTTTAAGGAGATACCAAGATTCGAATTCTGGACGTTTGGGTTTACAACTCATTCCTGTTATCACTTGAGCTATCTTTGGGGTTGGACTTGCGGGTTTATGTCTTATTCCTTATTTGATTACTGAACCATTTAGTATTTTTACTTTTTACCTACCGATCGTTTCTTATTTGATTCCTAAATTTACCAATGTGATTTTTTTTAAAGCATTTTTGGGTGTGGGAAACACAAGGAGTCCAAATGTTTGTGATTCTTAAATTTGATGACATCAAAGTGTCATTTTCCTCCTAGAATCTTGACTTGGATTTTTCGAACTGGTCAAGCTTCTATTCTGTTATAATGTATGATTAACCAAACAGCTCATGGTATGTATAGAGACTCCCTCTCTTTGGTTCTATGTTGTTTTTCACACTTGGAAAATGCCAAATTATTTTGGAAATTGCAAAATTGTTAGAAAATAAACAGTTTTTGGATATTCCATTGTTTAAATTCAACATGGTGTATTTGAAAACATGCAAGCTTCCAAGAAACTATTTCTTTTTTATGACGGGATCGAATACCTTCAAGACTAAATAGTAAAACTAAAAACATGTGAGGACATTTGATATTAATCATCGATCTGTGTATTAGTGAGAAATTCGCATAAATCAATAACTACTCGGGTACTTGCACTCTCCAATATTTCATTGCTTATGAAACATAAACATGATTTAAACCTTTCAATAACTTTGTGTCAATTGAGTAATGCTCCGTTTAGTATGATAGAAAAATAGAGAGATAAAAAGTAGGAAAGTTGGAGGGATAAATAAAATATCATGTTTGGTAATGAAGAAAAATAAGAAGGGTGGAAAAATAGATAGAAAATAACTAATAAAAATTAGTTATTTTTATTTTTTATCCATCCAACCAAACACAAAGGAATAAAATTGTATCATTCCTATTTTTTATTATTAAAAGATAGAAAGTGTATCCTTCCTACTTTCCATATTTCTTATATTTTATCTTTCCTATCAAACGAAGCACAAGTGATAGCTCACACAAAAGCTGTTGAAAGTGAAGTCTATTAACTTGCTTTAGAATCCTTTTTAGCCAAGAGCTTGGCCGGATGCCGAGCATCTGGTGCAAAGCACATTTTCGAAAAAGTCCAATTCAGGCAAACAGAGGACAGAGAGAATAGAACTCTATTAGTATACTACTAAAACTACTGTAAACTGCAAGGAGTAGAAAATTCATAATAATTACAAAAAAATTAAGGATGAGTCCATGTTTGAGTATCCTTAACAAGGTCAAACATTGTAACTGTTCTGTCTGTGTGACTGTGTGAGTGAATCACAAGGGAATGTTTTGTTTTACTGTGACATTGAAAAATGACCACGGTGACTTGGTCCTTGAAGAAAAAGTTTAAAAAATGAGGATAAATTACGTTGACACACCCTTTATTTTGATCAAATCCCCGAAAAAACTTTGCTCTTTTTTTTTTTTTTTTGGGAAATGACAAGGACACACCTCAAGTCACGAGTGGTCTAACATAGACACCCTTTTGTAGCTGGTATAGTTAAAGATTAAGTTCTAAACAATGATCAAAATTTTGCTTTTGACACAGTTAAAACGGCCGAAATATTTCTATTTTTAATGAGATTGAAAAAAAATCAATGATAGAATTAAAATTCTAATGTTTTCTTCGTGTTTCAAATAATATTTTGGAATGTTTCAAAGTGTTGCTAGATGGTTATGTATATTTTGACCAATGTTAAGGGATATTTTGAAAATAAATTCTCAAATATTTTATTCGTTTTTATTTTGTTTCCGAAGTGTTTATGTTTCTTGGGTGGTGGAACTAGGCCTGTCAATTGTGTCGGGTGTTATCGGGTTTGTGTCAAAAAGTACTTCACTTATACCTGATTCGTTTATTAATTCGTGTCTATCAAATCATGTCATATCGGATTCATATCGTGTATGAATCGTATATAACTGATATATACACGAGTCATATTGTGTATTTTTTTTTATTGTTTTACCAATATCTGATTTGTTTATTAATCATGTTGTGCCGAATTCACTCGTTTACGAAACGGGTGGCTTAAATAAGACTCAAACTCTTTAATTTAATATCACGTTAATAGATCAAGTCGTGTCGTATTTTGATATCTCCAATTAAAATAATACACCAAAATAAAATTTTGATCATTGGTTCTAATTTTTGTATTTACTACTATTTTTTGTTTTGATTTTTTAAGTTTTTTTGTCAAATAAGGTCAAAATTATAATTTTATAAAACTCAAGGAAGACCAGTGTAATTTGTCGAGAAGAAGTTTAAAAAAGAGGAGAGGAATTCGAAATTGAGGATGCTTTGTTCAACTCAGACAAACATGTGAATTAGTGTTGTCCTTAGTAATATCAATAAAGAGATTCAGATTTATTGGCAAACATAATGAAGACAAAAATTCCTAACTTTTTAGTCTAAACTATTTATTATGTATATTTAATAATCATATCAATTTTATAATTGTTCGTGTCGAATTTGTATAAACGGGTCAGAGTTAACACCCCTACCCGATACGATACATATCAAAAAATAAATAATCAATTTCATAAATGATAAATGACTTAAGTTTATGTTGAATATGAATAATTCAAATTTTCACACGAGAAAACCCATCTAACTTATTGATTTTTTTTTATTATTTCTTTATCTTTAATTGTGTGAATTATTGTGAAATTAAATAATTGGGTTAATTACAATTTATCTCCTTTAACCATGCAATTTACCCCATCCAAGTTTTAAGTGGATTAAATTAACTAACAATGGTGACTAAAATATGAAAAAACCATTCCACCCTCCATCTTGTAGATTATTTCCGTTTTCCTTTTTTAGACATCAATTTTGTCCCTAACAAAAAATAAGAAAAAAAAAAAATAAAGAACAAAAATTCTATCTTCTGCCAATTTTTATGATTTAAAATTAATTGTTAGAGTTAATTGCAAAAAATTGAAAATTAAAAAAGACTATTTATTAAAATCAAAACCTAAAGGAGTGATGAAAAATTACCCAAAGTTGAAGGGAGTATTTTGTAATTATCCCTAAATAATTTTGATTTGTTATTATGAAGATGTGGATCTTGGGTTCTTCATTTATGAAACGTGTATTGGGTTTGGTTGAGAGAAAAAAAAAATCCTAATCTTACATTATTTGGTTCAAAGATTGCACAAAAATAACAAAAATATGGCACAAACCCAAAATGACATGACTTGATCATAATACAACAAAACTCAATTGGCATCAATGATTTCCAAACACGCGAGTAAGCGCGCGTGTACAAAACTAACATTCACCATGCATTCAAAATGAATATTGTTGAAACAATTTTCCATCATAAAACGAATATTAACAACTATTTCTCAACTAGCTTAAAAAGTATATGCAATGCCAATTCACAATGGATTGTCTCAGAATCCATTGCCTGGGTGTTCTGGTACAGAGTTGCCCTTGCAATTCCTTTTCTGACACAAATCTAGGTTTCAAAACATGGGATGGAATATTATTATTTTCTAGTCCACTTCATTCCATTTGTGTGTGTGTGAGCGAGCGCACGCATGCAGGGAATGCTTCAACTATGGGGTATGATACCTTCGATTATCCTATAAGAAGTCATGATTTTGCACCAAGTTACAGCAAACAATGGCCGTGCTACAATGCACGAAATCCATCTTTGCAAAACCTCCCTCGAATTATACAAGTGGCATATGTAGGTCATATTGTGTGTCTGATTGGCGATCATGGAACGCCAGAAAGTATAAAAACTAATAAGAGGACCAAACCAGAGTATACAATTAGGATTGGACCGGGAGCCAACTCCTTTGTTATTATAGCAGACTTCTCGTAAGCACTGAGAATTGGTCACTAGCTAGGCAAATGAGCTGCACCATTGCATTTCCAGTTCACATAAGAGAACACAAATAAATTAACAGAGATAAAGATCTCTACGCATGAAGACTTACAATGACACAAGTTCGTAGCTCATACAGGCTCAAGCACATGTAGTGGTTGGATAGCCGTGAGACATGTCTTCCCTCCTCCTATATAGTCACACATACTCCCTCATGTAACGACTGCATGCTGCATGCCAATGTATACAGCTACTTCCTTTTCTCTGCAGCATGTTGACAACAAATAACACAAGTACCTTTACTCAAAATGCTGTAGAGTATTGAACTAAAGTAATCATGAGAATTTTTTTTTTTTTTTTTTTTTTTTTTTTTTTTTTTTTTTTTGGGGGGGGGGGGGGGGGGGGGGCTGGGAGAGGATGAAGTCTCTACACAGATTTAAATTCCCAAGAACTAATCCTCCACCAACATGTTGCTCCGCCTATAATCCTCTGTGCATCTATAAAGTGGTAGTAGCATCGCCAAATACCTTTAATCTTGCAGAGATCAGGGGCATCCCTGGTCTAAATTCAACAGACTAATCGTGCCCTGCCTTCTAATCCCACAAAGAGAATTAATGAACAGAAGGTCCACCTGCAACTGTGCACCTGCAAAAGTTAGAGGAAAAGGCTGTAAAAATATGCTTTGAGATACATTAAAACAAGAACCATATCATATGTTTATGGACCATGCCATGCATGAAAAGCACAGAAAGCAAATGGAAGATAGGGACAATGGTAATGGAACACCATATCTCTGCAGCACATTTTTCGTTACAGAAATGTAGTTCTACAAATCTGTCTTTTGGCATCTAGCCATTCATGCAAATAGCATAGAATACTACATTGGAGCAACCTGATGATAATTGCATTTCCTCGATATGAATATGGGCGTGGTGGGAAGGGGGGAAGAAAAGAAAGCATGTGAAGATCTTCTCTTTTTTTTTTTTCCTTTTGTATAACTACTGTTTACATCTAAATGCTCTGATCCTTCATCCTAGGTGGGACTGCACTGTATTTACGAATTTGCCATCAATTCACAAATTCCTCCACATGAACTCCTAATTGAACTAATCACAAGCTGCCATGTCTTTGTCTAGCAGGACCTGTTGCACTGGATCCTAACAATCAATGGAACAGGCTATATGGTATAAAACCCTCTAAAAATTGAGAGTAACTCAGACGTAACCCTGGAGGTTGCAACTAAAAAGCTATTTTTGAGCTATGCCTTCACGTTTCCAGCAAGGGTAATTTGTACTATTTTACAGCTAATAACAATACAGTAGAAAATAATCAATAAAGGTTAAATATATATTAGAATGTACTGTTACACACTGTTCTAGGTGATCTCATAATTGGGCATGTTGGGAATAGACACTCCATTGCTCTTGCCCCCTCTCCCCACATAACGCTGCTATTTCACTCCCACCATACCAAGCCCTACCCAATTCCCCTCTATCCCTTATCCTTCAGCCTTTAAAATGGCCCTGCAACTCTAAGATGCATCCTCTCCAGAATTTCCATGGTTATATTCTCAGAATTCCCCCAACATGCCAGTTTCTAGTAAGCCAATTCCAACTTTCTCATCCACAGAGCAGAGTTTTCCGTAACCATAGCCCATCAGAAAATCAGCCATCACCAGCATTTCCAAGTTTCTTCAAGCTGTCCTCGTTGAAGAAGATTGTCAGCTGTGCCCAATATATTCCCTGAACGACGTTCCCAAATTTTCTAAGGCCAAAACCTTCCTGCGTTCATCTCCAACATATGCATCCCAGGAAGTCATTGAGATGATTGCACTTCAATTCCATTAAGATATTTGTCTTCCCATAAGTCGAATAAGATGTATATCAAGAATAAAAAAGTTAAATCATTGTGATCAGCCAGGATAGCACTTCTGAGTAGGAAACATCTGTCAAACTCCAACCCCCTAACATCAAGCATCGGTCAATGGAAAGCTTGAGAAAGCAGAAATAGGGGATTAGCCAAAGACCACCAAGCAGAAGAAAGAAGGGCAGCAGTTTGAGAATACTGCCTAGCCCTTTACATGACTGCACCCACCATCACTTTCTGTTAATTGACCAAGCATAGTATCACTATGATGGGACTTCAACACAAAGACCTAGCAATTGTAAGTCCTACTGCTTTTCTCCCTCAAGCATCAGTAAATCATGTTCAAGAGGTCTAGTAGGATACATAATTACCGCTGACTTTCAAACCATCCAACCTTTTGCCTTCCGTAGGATACTTGAAATCACAGCCTTGAAGTTCTCACGTGATATGAAACCAGATTCCAAATCCGCATAGCAAACAATAGAAACCTGGTGTGGATTATTTTCAAACTTTCAATAGTAAGTTTTAGCATAAATAATAGCAGTACACAATAGGACACTCTAAGCTTCCAGCTACCAAAGGAGAAACTTACAGTAAATTCAACTATGGTTGAAGGTGGAATCAGAAGCTTATAATGCATCAATTTTTTCTTCCATCTGCTGTATGTTCTGAAAATTTGTCATGAACTTCTTAAATGCACGTAATAAGACATCCACAACTCAAGACAAGTGTATAACAACGAGCATCATCTTGCAGAAGTTCATAATTTTTTTGAAAGAATAAAAGAGGAAGAAGAAGAAAAAAAACAACGACAACGACAATGATAGAAGGGAAAAAAAAAGGTGAAAAATGAAAATCCCCTGTGCCACAAAAAATATCATCCATACCAAATGCTTTGGACATGCAATATGTTGTACCCATAAGCGTGTTTTGCACAGGGAGTTAGTTCGACATTTTACATGCTTAGTCTCATTTAATTCCACTCACAACATGTTGAGTTAAGTGGAAGACCCATTAAGCCAATCTTTTATAAAACTATATAAATGGATCAGATGTGTCATATAGCTAAGACAGAAAAGATATATATGTAAAGTGAAAGTAATTTATTTTTCTCATGGGAAACAAGGAAACATTATTAATGATAAAACTGAAGAGTACCTGAGGACAAGAAGCCCATTAAATACAACAAAATAAACTTAAAATTGAAAATAACATGCTGACACATGTCAACAATGTTTCATTGCCTTAAAGGCATGCTCTCAAAATGCCTATGCTTCCTCAAAAGCTCCCATCTATAAGAGTTGGAAGGAATTGTTCTTCCCTTCATATGACCAACCAATGACTATGAAACAAAGATATTTTGGAATGACAAGAATCAACATTTGGGAGTAGATAAAGATGAGACCCTATGGTCAGGATATGAAATCAAGACGTGAATTCAAGACGAAGTTTTGCAGCATGGCTACAGAATGCCTCAGAAATATTCATAATCAGATAAATAGATATATAGACCCTTATAGACATCCACCCATGTAGCAGGATATGAGAGAGGTAAGTGCAATAATACGTGCAATGTCTAAAAAATAAAATCAATCAAAATGGCATCAACCATTAATAAAAGCAATGGAAACCCAAAATATAAGTAAATCTCACAGTATAACCACACAAACCTTGCATCTGCATAAAATTCATTTCAATTATATAGTCATGGTGGTGTCTATCAGAGGAATCTAAAGCTTTTGCAAAAAGTAGAGAAAGGCATCAGCTGAGACTATAAAGAAGATTTGGGAAACCAACCTAGAATGAGCAATTTTCACTCTTGTGCAAAGCCCATTTAGTTTAATCTGAAAAAATCATAAGATTGCTTGTTACAAAAGATACAAATAATCAGTTAAAAAAATCATGGATCTCCAAACAATACTGAATTTGTACATTTTACATCAGAAATCTAATCACGTTTTTTATTTAGAAGCCATACCAGTGAGATCCTATCAGCTATTGTCTCAAACAATCTTTTTGAAAACAATTTTCAACGCCTAAAAACACAATACCAAATAGATTGAATCATAAGGGCATCAGCTTGAACATGATAACAAATAAAACGGATTAATTTGCGACATCGAACAAAAATTAGAAGAAAAATGGGCATACCACAACTTTTATGCAGCCACAAGGTTCAAGAAGCAGGACTGGTTTGTGACAAGCCTCCATGACTGAACCAGATATTGTAAAAGTCTACTTGCTGAAAATCATCTATCTAGAATTATATAGTCGAGGTACTCGACAGCATGAGATTTATAACCCTTGCCAAGTTGCTTTAACAGTGCACCATGTGTACAAGAATCAGGCTGGATTCCTCTATCTAGCATTTCTTTATACAATCTCAAAACCTCATGCCAATTACCCATATCACAGTTCTCATTTATCAATATAGTGTAGGTATATTTATTAGGGAGTACTCCTTCTGCTTCCATCTCAGCAAAATATTTGTAAGCCTGATCCATTCTTTTCAATTTGCAAAGACCATTTACCAGCGCATTGTAGGTGATCACATTGGGTAGAACACCCTTTTCCTGCATCTCCGAGAAATACATAAATGCCAGTTCTAGCCTCCCATTACCAGCATGAGCATGAATCAATACTGTGTATGTCACAACTGTAGGGGATAAACCTTTGCTTAGCATCTCATAGAACAACTCTCTGGCTTTCCGGAGATGCCCAATTTCTAAATGAGCATGAATAATGCTAGTATACGTTCCATGATCGGGCACAAGGCCATCACGGATCATCCTCTGCAACAACTCACAGGCTTCTTCCAAATTACCCAACTTACAAAGTCCATCCACAAAAACATTATAGGTGATTAAATCAGGTGGGAATCCCTTTGTTAGCATTTCTTCTTGCAAACTGCATGCCTTGGATACATCTCCAAGCTTCAGTTCACCCACTATACGAGCTGTGTATGCACAGCGATCAGGCACTAACCCTTCATGCAACATCTCGTCAAAGAATTCCTTAGCCATGGATAAATTTCCTGCCTTGCAAGAACCATTTACTAGAATGGTATAAGTAAAAACATCAGGACGAACCCCATAATTAACCATTACATCCTTAAGCTGGCTAGCATTCTCCAAATCCCCCTGCCTGCTAAGCCCATCCATAATGGTATTATAGGTGACCACAGTGGGAATGAGGTTCCTGCCCCTTAACTCATCCAACAAGAGGAAAGCCTGTGTTGTGTTACCCAATCGACAATACCCATAAATCAAAGTGTTGTATGAAACTATATCCGGCCGCACATTCTTTGCAAACATGTCAAGAAAGTATTGCCTAGCCTCAGTCACTCTTCCCTGCTTGCAAAGTCCATACATGAACGAATTGTATGTTGATACAGTTGGAGAAGCTCCTCTCACTACCATCTCTGCACCTAGGCTCAATGCCTCTACAAGCAAGCCCTTCTTACAATACCCAGAGATCAATGGGTTATACGTGTACGATGAAACCTTCAATCCCTTATTTAACATTTCCCTAATCAACCCTTTGGCCTGGTCAAATTCCCCTTTCTTGGACAACCCATTAATCAGCACATTATATGTAACATCATTCGGATAGCACCCTCTCCTCTGCATTTCCGATAACAGGTCCAGCGCTTGTTGTACTTCACCTACTTTACAAAACGAATCCAACAATGTATTATACGTAACAATAGTTGGCTTAACCCCACACTCTCTCATCATTCTATACACTTCCCTTGCCTTGCCAACTAAATCTCTATCCCTAAGTATCCTAAGAAATCTATTACAATTCTTCACATCCGGCAACACCCCATTTCTGATCATCTTATCAAATGTCAACCAACATTGCTCGACCATTGATTTTTTGGTATACACCCACAACAAAAGATCAAGTAAGTTACTCAAAACCTTGGAATTTGTATACCTATCTATCAAAATATCCAAAATACCATGCAAATTCTCACTAATTACCCTCTCCATGACGCAATATGCAGAACTCGTCAAATTATTCTCAACTAGAATTTCAAGAATAGTACAAAAAGCATATTCTGAATGCTTAAAGCCTGGTTGTCCCTCCGCCCAACGGAAGAACCGGAGGGCAATTTTTGGGTGCTCACGAATAGAATCAAGCACTCGGGCAAACAATTCTGAATCAAGAATCACTGTATAAAATTGGTCTGGGACATCCCAGTAAGGTCTTTTAAAAGCCCAAGGCTTTTGTTCAATTGTTTTCAGGATTAGATTCAGGAAATGGGTTTCCGAATATGTAGTTATATATGAACTTCTTGTGCTGTTATTGCATGCTGCGTTGGTCATGCCAACAATTGGGCTGTTGTTCTCAGATGGACATAGAGAGTGATAATGGAAAGAAGATAGAACGATAAAGCGTACCTTGAGACGAAGAGAGTACAAGTTTATTGATTTTGAAGCTCTAACATAAAGGGTCATTGGATTTGTATTAGTGGTGTGGTGGTGATATACGATGAGAAAGCAATGCATGTGAGAAGAGTGGGAAAGGTTTGAGGAACTGATGAGAGAGAAAATAATGGGTTTTGGGTATTGATAGAGAGCTATGAAGAAGAATGGACGGCGTACCAAGCAAACCATTGAGGTATCGCCATAGATCATTCAGTTCTGGAACGAACCAGCGAGCGGCGAGAGAAACTGTAGCGTGTACACGAGAAGAGCTCAGCCCGAACCCGAATTCCAGACTGGAGCTTGGATCGCAACACTTAGGCCCAGCCAGGCTCTGGGAACAACTCAGGAGCTCCATCGTAAAATTCAAACCTAACCATTAATCGAGAAGCGATTGCAACAACGAAAATCAATGCTACATTAATCGATTGGAATGGGATGGCAGGACGAACCAGGACCTAGACCCAATAAAATTCAACACGATCTGATTACTCTATTCGAATCAATGCTACATAAATCGGTTAAATGTAATTTTAATAAATTCAAGTTGAATGATAAACAGGTAAACGAGTCAAACTTGTATAACTAAATACATTAACTTATGACTCAATTACCCATTTAATAGATTACCCACTATATTGAGGAATTAGGACTTTCAATTAGATTTTTTTTTTGTCGTAAAATTGGTTGTAATTTTTTTTCAGAAATAGTTAAAAAGAATTTTTTCGCGTGTAAAATATATTTAATTGGATTAGTATTATATTTAATTGAATTCATACTAACTCCTTTAGTAAACAGGTCTGGCGAGATGAATTTATTAATTATAACTTGATCCTTCAAAGTTATAACTTAATCTTCAAATATGAATACCATAGACTTCCCTCAGTGCCTAAGATCTGTCATCTCTGATATTGGGTACTATGATTCAGCATTTCATGGCCTTTTGGGATCAACTACATGTAATAGCAATATAATTAAAAATTAATAAAAAATGAGATATTCCTCAATTTCCCATTTAGATTATAAACATATATGCAAGCAATCATTCCACGCCAAAACCAACATGGTGGACCAAAGCACCTGGCTCTCAAAATTGATTAAAACTAGTTACTATTGAGTGTCTGGGACATAAAACTATAATTTTCAGTTACAAAAGAAGAAATAAAGCACATAGGGTGAATGGAAGGAGCATACAACAGCAAACAACAAGTAACCCAAGTGCTCAGATCAAAGAAAAGTTCAAAAGAAAGGGAAGGGGGGCGGGGGGGGGGGGGGGGGTGTTATGGCACGTAGACAAGCAGCGGAAACCAGTGGTTACAGATTTCTCTGATCTGCACATAAAAACTGGACATGTTCTACTTCGGGTGATAACACTAGCAGCTAAACGGCGCTGTCAACAACATCCTCTCACTGTTTCAGCCTTCGCGATCAACTAATTTTTGAAGGATTACCTACAAACAAGAGCAAAATAATCCCATCACGCACTTTTTCAAAGAAGTTGTAAAACAGCATTCTTGAGCAAGCTTAGTGTAGATAGATGGCACTAGAAAACCATATCTTGAACGTTCACTGGAAACTCTAATAAGCATAAATTTTCTTAATTAGCAGAACACATGCCTAATAAAGTTCAGGCGTACATTTGATGATTCATGAATTATATGATTAAATTTAAATTTAACAGCTCATGAAAAAAATACTTTTTATCCTTAAAAGTAACGTACTGGACAAGAACGATGTGATTTCAACCCTTGATTGAGTTCGTGACATGAGATCAGTAGCCTCACAGGACGAAATTCAATTGACTGACTGAGCCCTCTATTGTCCACAACAGAAATTAATTCACACTGTAGAAGGTGCTCAAACGCCTGCATGAAAGCAGATTGTCTAAATGTGCTTGAAGATGTAGAATTCAAAACTGTGTCAAGATTAACTAACTACTTGTGTGAAGTGAATACACACCCTTAAGCATACATTCCGTGCATAATAATCAGATGTCTGGAACGAGTCATGTATGCTTTTGTACTCTGCAATGTGTAATAAACAAGGTATGCTATGATAAAAAAACAAAAAAAATCAAATTATATGGGGTATGTCATGGAATATTGACATAGTAAAATCAAATCATGGATAACATTTGAGGCATACCTTTCATTACAGAATTGAAGTTGTATGTGTCTGGCTCTTTCACTTCCAACCTCTTCATGCAAACCAGAATATAGAGTTCTAAGATGGAGCAATCTGCTTGAACGAGTTGAATTAGCAATTAAAATAGTCAAATTACTCATAAAGAAAGCAAGGATTTTTTTTTTTTTTTGGTGAGCGGTTTTTTTTCCTTGGGGGTGGGGTTTGGAGGGGGCAGGAATTGTTTGTAGTCAATTCCAGTGCTAATAACTTGATACAATTCTAATGCTTTTTATTAAAAAAATCGTGTTCAATGAATTTCTTCCTGATGCCTTCCGATATAGGAAATCATCAATGAGAAGAAAATTTTAGTATTTCACCTTTAGGGTGATCGCTTAGGAAGTGTTAAACCATAAACTGAAAAGTTTAAATTGATTGATTTAAGATGATTGAGAGTGATGCAATAACATTAGCCCCTCATGGGTGGACCCTCTTTGGGTGGTCTGCCCACGTGATCGTATTGCATATTTTTTTTTTTTTTATCATATTGCATATTAAATCAGATGTAATTGGTGTGGCTTGAATTCAAGAATCAAGACCTTTAAGCTGATATCAGTTAATCACCAATTCTTTTAACTTCTTTAAGTTCATAGAGAGGCAAGGGGCATAAACATTTATTGATCAAATACTCAACCTTTTAAGCATTCCAGCTTTGGCTGCCTTTGGATGGTTGAAAGTGCAGCTTTGAAGTTGTCAAGTGACATGAAACCAGATTCCAAATCCATATAACAAACGGCAGAAAACCTAGCTTCAAGGACTATGAATAGTAAGTAATAGCAGAAAATACAGTACATATAATAGAACTGTAAACTTGCAGATACAAAGAGAAAAACTTACAGAAACCGCAGCATGTGGTTGAAGGTCAAATCAGAATTTGACAGTGTTTCAATAATTTCTTTGAATTTTTCACCTGCTAATATGTTCTGTCAATGTCAAGGACTTGCTTGTATTATTTTACAGAACATAGGAGATTCAGGTATAGTGCATGTGTTATGCTACTTTACCAATGCAAGACAAGTTGCCTTGTAAAAACTAGGTATAGTGCATTGAGAGACATTCATAAGATCAGGAGGGGCACACTTCTGTAGGGACAAACAAATGCAGGATAGTGGTTCAGACTTCTTAATGTAAGGCTAAAGCTCTAACACAATTAAGCAAAGTTTGAAAAAGGAAGGAAACAACGAATAGATTTATGCATTAGTCATGATAATGAGTGTTTCTGAAATGAAGCTCATGCATTCATCCAGTATTATGCTTAAATCAAACGTGAAACTCCTGTCTTTTCATCTAACGCTCACTATATTATTCTCTGGCAACATGTGAAATTACAAGTGTTGGTCATTCCATTAAGCTTAATGAAGTCTATGAGAGGATACAAGAAGCTTCGCATTGAAGTCAGCTACATAGTCATGAGGAAGGCTTGAATCTGTTGGCAATAGCAAAATATGCTCCAGCAGTCTGCACAGTACACCAAAGATTGAGACAAAAGTAAGACACAAGCTTTTGTAAATCTCAAATTTTCAATCCTGCACAATATACTGCAACAGCTCTGCTGTCTCAGACAGTAGAGAAGTTACCTCTGTAAATCTTCCCTTGAGGGAGGAAGAAAGAGCAGTTTTCTATGTGAAAAACGAGATCTTACTCTTTTTTCCAAGAGCTGATCAGCATCCTGCATGATACATAGCCTAATATTTCAGCATTCTTCACAAATCCGTAGAAAACATTTGGAAGTTCTTTAGTGTGGTCCATCCATATGTGTTGCATGCACCAACTATATATAAAACTGCCCAAACATATGCATGGATCTGCAAAATTCGCTTAGATTACCTTTAAAAAGTTATATGAAACTTTTAACTATAGCTAATCAATCAAGGGCTTCTGTTTCCCTTGATTAAATAAATATCAATTACAGGATCCTCTAGTCAATAGTATTGGAAAAAAATCCATATATGCATCAACCAGTTATAACAAAACAAAATGAAATTAGCAGTTGAAGAAAATTACCAATCGGCAACTCACGCCAACGACAACAGCTTGTGATGTTACAGATTGCATTGCATCTAGCAAGCTATAAAGTAATCGCTGTTTACCCTGCAAAGATCAGACAGAAGCAAATTAAACATTTTCAACACCAGAAAGCTAAATATTCTGTTGACCTTCATCTTCTTCAGAAAGGATTATTCAACATTCACTAGCATCTATGTCTTAATCCAAATATTTGTGCCCATGTATGCACACGCAACAAAAATCGGGAATGGAGGAAGTGAGAGTAGAAGGTAAAAAATAAGGAAAGGTGAGAAGACAAGCATCCAGACTTCAGTGCTGAGAGATTGGGAACGAGATGACAATCTTACCTGTGCAAAGAGGTCAAATTCATCCAGTACAAAAATAACTGTTTTATGTGCTAATCCACACTCTCTGAAAAGAGATCACAAATGATTAAATGCACAACAAAAGCAAATCGTCATGTATTGACATTGAAAACACCCAATAAAATCAATTGACCAAATCAACCAGTAGAATGGCACTTGCAAAATCAATAGCAATCAACACGAACATATACATATATTCACCTTAACATAGCTACCATGAACTGGGAATTATCATCAAATGATGCCTACAAAAAAGCATCTCAACATCAAGACTTCTGAATTGATCCAGGATCAAGATGAATCATCTGAAAAGATTGATTGGGCATGTTACCATTTTTGAGAACATCAATTGGTGCTCCACACATAATTGTCTAGCAATTTCCTGAGTGATCAATTGAGACCAAAAACAAAGATGAACATTCTCCCCAACTACATGAGAAGCAATAATACAACTTTCTATCTGAAAATAGAATATAGTAAGTGTCCACAATCATCAATGAATTCTCTTGTCGATTATAAGGGGAGCCAGGTTCAATGATTAAAATTTGACCCAACAACCATGAGCTTGTGGGTTTGGATATGATGGCAGCTACTTTGTGCAGATAATGTCCAAGATTAGGTTATACCAAATCCAGTACGCATAGCAACCCAATTAATTGATGACTAAGTTGCAAGAGTACTTTTTTAACAATTTCGTGCTGGTTTTAGTTTTAGATCTGATTGCTAGCCTTGAACATCATTTATCGACTATTTTTCTTTTGTTGCTCTAATAGTACATCAGCTTGTGATGAATTTTACTCAATGATTGCCATAATGCAACCATCTGGTGGCCATCTTAATGGAAAAAGCATGTAGACATGCATTTGACAGTTTTAAAATATGAGAAATACACAATTGTTCTTTTTAATTGAGGGAAATACACATTTGTTTTTTTCTTTTTAATGGAGGGAAATACACAATTTTTATCCCTCATACCATTCCTTTTCACAAGTTATTAATAACTGACGTGAACTTTCCTTATTCGTTTCTCAGCCCCACAATTTCCTATGAACTGGATAAATTATGTGATGTAGATCGTATTAGCTCTAATATCAAATTGATGTAGATCATAGTAGGGAAGAATTAAGGATGAGAATGATGAGAAAAGAGAGAGAGTTTGAGGAAGAAGTAATATCAAGATTCAATATCAATAATCAATAATCAAAGTCTAGTCTCACAACAAATATGTATCCCCTATATATATAAGGAGTTCACAAATCCTATATATAAGGAGATCACAAACCCTAAAATAAATAAATAATCAAAATAACAACTAAACCCTTAAAAGTTAAAAGAAAATATTTAAAAGATAAATATTAAAAGTATCTAATTAACTATCATAATTAATCTATAATATCTATCCAATTCCTACACGATCTCCATCATGTAGATCGTATTAGCTCTGATACCAAATTGATGTAGCTCATAATAAGGAAGAATTAGGGATAAGAAAGGGAAGAAGAAGGGGATGAGAAGAGAAGACGAAGATGATGAGAATAGAGAGAATTTGAGGAAGAAGCAATATCATAATTCAATATCAATAATCAATAATCAAAGTCTAGTCTCACAACAAATATGTATCCCCTATATATATATATATATATAAGGAGTTCACAAATCTTATATATATATATAATGAGATTACATACCCTAAAATAAATAAATAATTAAAATAACAACTAAACCCTTAAAAGTTAAAATAAAAAACTTAAAAGATAAATATTAAAAATATTTAAATAACTATCATAACTAATCTATAATATCTATCCAATTCCTACGAGATCCCTATCATTATGCTTTTCAACTAATGAGAAATAGCACGATAATGATGTTCAAGGGTAGCAACCAAAACTGCAAACAAGCAAAAAAATGTTTTTTTCCAGGAGCTGCTCCCACAAAAATCATGCATAACATGTTCTTCTCTAGAAGCATGCTTTCCCAATGCCTTAGCACCAAGATTACCTAATATGAATTAAAGTCCCCTCAAAGTACATATCTCCCAATTTCCTAACCTTAGTAAGTGATTAGTCAGTTTTGAGATGGTAGATGTGCGAAATCAGGTTACTGTGTTTATTCTTTGCATATTCGAATAAGAACTCATTATCTCAAGGGGAAATGGTTACAAGCACAACACCTAGAAATCTATCAGGAAATAAAAAACATAAATCAATGATAAAGAATGAAAACTATCAAATAAGTAATCTCTGACTACAGCCATATTAACATATCATCCAAATTCAAGCAGTTAAAAAACATGACATCATGGTCACCAGAAATACTGGCGACTCTAAATTATGGCAGCACATAGCCAGAACCATGTTGAGATTATAAGAGGACTTGGGAAATCCGACCTTCAATGCGCAATTGTCATCACTGTGCAAAAGTCCATTCAGTTTGATCTGAAACATCAGATTACTTCGTATGAACCAAAAATTACAATAACAATACTCATCGAGCAGAAAAAATTTAGAACCTACCACCAAAATTGTATATTACATCGCATAATGTAATTTATATAACTTTAAGTAAGATTGTGACATCAAAAGCCATACCACTGTGATCAGATCATGATATTCTTTCCGTAAATCATCGAGAACAAGCTCCAACACCTCCAAATATAGAAGGAATAGATTTTTAAAATAAGTAATTCGAAAAGGCACCAACATTGATAATAATAGAAATACGCTTATCTATTTCTTACACCCAATACAAAATAAGGAAAAAAATGGACATACCGCAATCTTTCCACAGCCACGAGGACCAAGAAGCAAAACTGAATTGTTACATGCCTCCGTAACTGAACTCGATATTATAAACTTCAACTTGCTAAAATTCAAATTCAAAGAGAAATTAATTTTATTTCCTTTTTTCCCCACAAATCCAACAACCAAAAAAAGGTGTGGCCAGTTGGTTGCTGAGAAAAATGAGGTATTCGCTTTTCTTGCATTTTCTGGACAACCAACTGCAGGTAAGATATGAAGACAAGAAAGCAGACCTGTGGTTGCTGTCGGGGGAGTCGGAGAAAAGGGTGAAGATGAAAGTGGGATTGCAGAGTCTGCTTCGAAGGAGGATTTGGGCTTGCTCTGCCAGACTTTTTTGACCCATTGATGGTGTTTTGCTTTGCAAAGGAAGATACTGAAATGGTAGGAAAGATAACATAAAGGAGGAGAAGTGACCAGTGAGGCTGTTACAATATATATGCAGCCCCTATTGCTACAATGAGTGAAGTTGTTTGATTTAGTAAGTGACTGTCACTATTTTGATTTAAATGTCACTATGCAAGTTCTTCCAACCCAAAAAACAACAAAGGAAACTAAAATCAACCAACTTCTTAATCATTTCAATGAGAGGTATTTTGTTCCTTCAAGCCGACACGAGTGACAATTTTTTATATGACGTGTTTTCACAATAACATGATCTTATAAGTAGAAAATGTCTAATTTTCTTTTATTTCATGATCTAATATTTATGATATGTGGTAAACTTAAATGTTCTTGATTTGGTTTTACTGGAATGGAGATTTAAAGGATTTTTAATTTATAAGGACCTATCTGTGGTGAGTTTCCTTGTGAAAAAATGACATTCTACCCAAGTGGTTTCTCATTCCCAAGCTACACAATGTGACACGAACAAACAAGGAGATTGTCACCCATACATATAGGTCAAGACCCAGGGTTTCTTTCATTTTTGTTAGATTTTAGTCATGTTACTGGTGATTGGAATTGTGTTGAATGTTTGGAAAGCCTATCATGTTTTTAGCAAAAGGATCAAGATGGAATTAAATGATATGCTCGGTAATTTACTCTAATATGTTCTTGTCTATTCTAAAGCTTCTTTTTTGGAATATTATAGGAAAGAAAATACTAAGACAGTATATTAAAAAAATTCGGGAAAAGATATCAAAGTTGCTTGATGAAACTATGGAAAAGAAACTCGTCAAAAGTGGAGGGACACCACACCAACATTATGAAAAAAAAAATTAAAATGCCTTAATATCATATTAAAGGAGGAAAGATATTTAAAAGTTTTCACTTTGTTCTGTCAAACATAAAAAAGTCTCCTATTATCCTTCTATTTTTCCAAAAGTACCCCAGTTGGCAATTAGAGGTTGGATTTACCGTTTATTAATGCAGCATTGTCATGTGTGTGATTAAGACTACAAATAAAAAAAGATGTTCATGAACAGCTCGTCATATAATAGAAGGATGGATGGCAAAACCGTTAGTACAAGGCCCAATGCATGACTTCGTCTACAAAGAGACTATTTCGCAACTTGAACCCCTAAGGCCCAAGTCACAATGAAATAACCTTACTAATGTGCCAACGAGCTACAAAAAAAAAAATGAGTAAAGCTTGATCAAGAACACAAGCCCAGCCAAACAAAAGCTTGAGCTCGATTCGTTTAGTCAAATGAGCTAAGCCAAGCTGAGGTAAGCCTCAGCTTGGAAAAAAAAAACTTAATTCAAATTGGGTCTGAACAATTGTCCGAAGCTGGCCATGATCCCAAACCAAACCCAAACATTTTTCAGGAACAAACGAGCAAAGCACGAAAAGTCTAACGCTTGGCTAGGTTTGATTCATTGGCTACCCTACACATGATGTAGCAGATTGAGCAATATAGTCAAAAGATTATTAATTGAAATCACTGTCTCCTTTCTCTCTAGTCAGTAGTCTGTTCCTTCCAATGTCGTCGCTTCTCCATTATCAAACTCAACAACAGCAACAACTTCCCCTTAATTGAACTCTACTAATCTCTCCCTCCCCACTACAAACCCCCTCCCCCTGCATTGAAATCCACCAATGCCCAAGACCCAAAACAGCACACACTAATATATATGCGCACAAACAGGTGGCCTTCAACAGCGATAATGGCAGTCTCGTAATAAAAATCGATGCAAAATAACCTCTATTTCCGGCCACAAAGATGATCTATTTCACTACCAGACACCAACTCTTCAATTATATCTATCTCAAAAAACCATAATTATAATTTCTATACAACACCACCACCACCACCTCCTCAAAAACCAACCCAACAAATTGCAAAAATGAAACACAACTAACAAAAACTTGCTAGGGGACCTTGGCATAACAAACTGATCCCCTTGGAAGGCCGCTAAATGACAACTTTGCCACGGACTTGGGCCATCAAGATGCCTTTGAGAAGAGAGAGTTTTTTTATGGTGAGTGGGGATGGGCTTTCACTATGGATAGTGTGGACTGGGAAGGGGGACTTGTTTTGTTGGGGGAGTCCACTATTAAGGTGGGGATGGTTCCAAGGTTGAGGATTAGCTCATGGGTAAAAATGGTGGATGGGGGTTAAGGGTTCGACTTGAACTAGTTGGAAGGTCAACCCAAACTTATTTCAACTTATAGAACATTTGACCAAATCTCAACTTAAACACGATTTTTATCCCAAACCACTCTAACCGATGTTGTTCGTGTTTCTACTATTGAACTTTGGTTAAATTCCAATTACAAATCGGGTTCAATTCAAATTCAATCCGGATTAAAATTTGGTTGCCATAACACTAACAATCATGTAGGGTGGAACCAGAAATTTGCCGTAGTGGGGGCAAATTTTAAAAATAATAAGATAAAATTTGAACAACTAATAAATGGAAAAACTTAAATATTGATTATTAACCCTTCTATCCAATGCAATTATAATTATTCCCGATTAGTTTTCATGTCAATGTAATTAAGGAGATTTTTCTAAATGTATCAAGATTACCAATTGGGGGAGAGAAGGAGAATGAGAGATATAGAATGGTTTCTTAAAAACATATGGTGGGATTCAACTAACTGTACGTTATTTAAGTTCATTTAATTGAGAGTTAAGAAATTTAACTCAAATGTGATTGAGCTCGCAACTTTAAAATTAAATTTTAAAAAATATAATTTTTTTTTGAAAAAAAAAATAGTGGGCCGATTGATTGTTGTATGGCTTCATCGATGCACTCAAGGTTCATCTCTTCCGAATCTTGACAAATTTCATTTACACAATTCATCAAACACCTTTCACTCAGCAATTCAGACATTATATAAATAAAACATGTACAAAATATGATACCTTAGGAAGAGATCTCTTAGTCGTTTGAAAAGTTGTATTCAATTAAACGACAAACGCAAAGAGAGAAAAAGGAGGGCACTAAGAGTGAGAGAAGGTTGGAGTGTTCAACTTAATGCGAGAGAGCGGGGACAGTGAGGACGACACCTGGGAGAGTGTCTGATGAAAAAAGAAATGATAAATTATACTCATACCCCCTAATGTATGACTTAATCAAACCAATCCCTTCAGTTATGACAAATTACATTGACACCCCTAGAAGTTTGTATGGAAGTAATACATAGATCCCCTCATCAATGCCCATTAAAAGACCCGTCACAACTATATTATATCATAATAGGAATAAGTAATCCCCAAACCAGTGTTATTTAAGGCGTAAAGCGAACCGAAGCGACCAAGGCTCCTAACGCCTAGGCGAGAAGCGAGAAGCGAAGCGACACGCTTTACCGAAGCAAAGCGAACAGTTAAAAAAAATATATATTTTAGTTTAATTACTTCTAAACAATCTAAGTTCTAATTTTATATATACTAAATATTTAAATGCAAGTAAAACCATAAACATTTAAATTAAAAAAAATACTAATAATATCTCAAATCTTAATAACAGCCATAACTTAAACATTTAAATTCAAACAAATACTAACAATTGTATACATTTTCATATTGACAGGGTAGGACAACAAAAGAAGCAGAATCAGGACAACAGCAGAATTAGCAACAAAAAAAAAAGAAGTAGAATGAGGATAAAAAAAAATAAAAGCAACACAGGACAGCAAAACCGAAGCAGCAACAGAATCAACAAAAAAAATAGAAGCAGAATGAGTTAAAAAAAAAAAACAGAAGCACAATGATCATGACAGGAGCAGAATCAATTGTAAACAATTTCATATGTAATTATATATTGAATAAAAAAAAGCAGAACAGAGGCACATTTCACATGTACTAAAATAATTAAACATGGTATAAGCATAGACCACTTTTTGGTACCATTTGTATATATATAAGAAAAGGAAAAAAGTATAACCAAGACATATCAGAGACACTTCTTTGTAGAAGAATCTATTATTTACCCCCATTTCTGATACTCCTGCTTCTTTTTTTTATCATAATTGTCATGCAGTGCAGTCGCCTGACTCCCACATTCCACAAATATTCTAAATGAATGCAGCAACACAAGGAAAAAAAAGGAATGTATTTTGTTCGAAAACATTGTTTATTAAAAAAAAAAAAAAATAGACCAGCAATAGTCTAAAAAAAAAGTCATTAGTGATTAAAAAATAAAAGAGACTACTAACCTGTAATCAAAAAAAAAAAAAAAAAAAAAAAAAAAAAAAAGTTGAAGCAGAATCGCTTTTTATAATAAAGCGTTCGCTTTTTCGCTTTTTCGCTTCGTCGCTTTTTCGCTTTTTCTCGCTTTTTTCTCGCTTCACTCACGTTCGCTTCGCCTGGGTCCTCCAGGCGAGATAAGCTCGCCTCGCCTCGCTTCTCGCCTAGGCGAGCTTTTCAAAACACTGCCCCAAACTACCCTTTATAGAGTCTAATACATCTTATCGGATAAAATGTTGTCTTTCTCAAAATTATGCCATATGCCCACAAAACCCAACTCCTCCACCTCCACATGCACCTCCAATGCCCACAAAACCTAGCTCCTCCACCTCCACATACACCGCCAATGCCCACATGAACAACCACCTCCACACAACCATTTATTGAGCCACCTTTACCAAATCCCTATCACTTCCTCACCCACATGTCAAACTCTAAATGAGCTCCATCTACAAACTAAAGAATACTATAGTACTGCATTTTAACTTTTGTATATTATACCCAAAAGTTTTAAAAAAAAAAAACCTCCGAAAAATATTAAAATTTACCTCAAAAAATGGTAAGCTTGACCAAAAAATGTGATAAGTGAACCCAAAAGGAGAGTACATCACAAAAAGTTGGTAACCTCCATCCAAAAAGGTTATAGATATCTAAAAAATGGTAAGTGGTACAGTAACAAAAAAAAAAGGGTACTATAGTCAAACCTAGTAATAGAATGAGCAACAATCAAACAATTAGGACTGTTGCTAAATGCACAGTTCAA